TCTATCACTGTCATCACAAAGATGATGCTCACTCTGGGAGGAGTTAACCTCCATTTCATTAGACACGTGGATATTTGTTCTTGAAGATGCAACAGAAATTTTACTTGTAGTTGGCATTTCATTAATAAATTCGGCGGTATCAGTTGTCGCTCTATAATTAATTTAAATAAAACTGATAATTTATTTTTGTTGAATATTAAGATGTTATATAATAAAACGTTATCGAACTGTGTATAATCCAAAAACCACACGCACAAACTCTTAAAAACCAAAAATTAATTATCCGAGCCTTCATTTTTTATTTAAAACTTCGCCAGGAATAATATTTATGAATAAAATACAAAAACGGCACTTGAAAGAGAAAATCAGCAATTTGGGCGACTGGTGTTTGGTTTGCAAACAAAATTAAAATATAAATATTTATTTGTATAATAAGTAACAAACTATGTTATGATTATGATGTTTATGTTTATTGTTTACAGTTTAATGTTTTAAGAAAGATGAATAGAAACAGAAAGAAAGATTGACCAACCTAAAAAACTGATTTAATCGAGAACATTTAGCGGCGGCTTGATTAATTAACTCTTCTTTTCGTTTTCTATTTCTCTCTTCAGTCGGCATTATTAGAATATTGGATAATTACAGAAATGTGTAATGTGTTAAGTGATTTAATAAAGATCAGTAAACAGTTTCCATGGAACGGTTCAAAAGCAGAACAGATAACAAAATAGCGATGTGCTAAAAGTTCTATTATAAAAGAGTATTAAAATATCTAGATCGGATCGGTAAAAATTAATGCACACATTTTATGCACATGTTTTGTTTTATAGTATTCAAAATATTTCGCGCAATTGCAATATCAAACTCTATGTAAATCGATGTTTTGGGGCAATAGGGGCATATTGAAATGTTGTTATTTTGCGGTGGGGGGGCCGGTGCAAGGGCATGGGGTGGCCCGGCCACCCCAGGCCCCCCCGGTGGATCCGCCCCTGTCATGTATTAAATCCTATTTTTATTTTTCTCAAAATATTATGCAATTTTTTATTTAACAACTAAAATAACGAACCGACATATGTTTTGAAATTTAACACAAAATTAATCAACGTTTTTTGAAACAAATGGATTCGTATTTGATTCGTACTACTCTAGGGTACATGGTTAATTTTTCTCATATTACAAATTGACGCTGAATGAAGATAGATGTTATGTTATGTTGTCGATGTTGACACTAGCGATAATGGGGCGATGGATTTTGTAAATACTCAAATTTCGCTAAAGTGACTGTTTTAATCGTAAAATTGTTAAAAAAATTTATTTGAATCATTTTTACAAATTTTTTTGCGCGTATTTATGTCGAATTTTTAAACATACGTTTATTGGTATAGTCCCGTTAATTCATATAAAAACGATTGGCGTCAGTTCAATTTTCTTATTTTTCCATCATTTTGTTTTGATATTTTAAAATTAAATTTAAAAGATTAAAAATATAAAAACTCATATATGTATATTTGAAATTATTTATTTCACGAGCAAGCATGAGTAATAAGAACAAAAACTTACATTTAAATATATCTGTTGTTAATAAAGCACCGGGTGTGAAGATAGATTTCCGTGAGAATAGCTTTGTTCATGTTTACACAGTGAACGACGGTGATGGAGAAGCCATGACCAGGAATGCTCCTGCCAAAGACCACATCGTCGTAAATTTGCAACACAAAAATAACAAAGAAAAAAAATTAACTAAGGATACCAATGAAATTGAATCAGATGATTCCCCATCCACAATAATTCACCTTAAAATTTCACCTGAAACTGAGCTATCATGTGATGGGTTCACAAATGTAAATGACAGCTCTTCAGATGAAAAGGTCCACAAGAGAGATAAAGGTAAAAGGAGTCCAATCAAACCTGCTACAATAAAAAATTGCTCCAAGTTCAGAAAAGTTTTAAGGGAAATGAAAAAGGAAGGCCAATCTTACGATAAAAAAGAAGATAACAAAACAAAAATTTTGAAAGAATTTGAAATCAACAACCAACTAGAAAAATTAAGAACCGAAACTTTGAAAGTTCCAAAGAAACGAGGTCATACATTTTATGGCAATTCATCCGAGAAATCATCATTAAACAACAATAGCCATACCACAAACAAATTTGCTAGCAACAATAACACTACAAATAGCAGCAGTGCCGTAAAGTTAGTAATGCCACCTTCACCATCCAGAAGTTTAGTGTCTGACATTTCCTCATCAAACGACATATCGAGCATTTTCACAGATCCAGAGGATTCGTTAACAGAAGTAGTAAGTGCTTCGAGTCAAGGAGACCATACAATCAATGAGGCACATGATCCCAACAATATGAACTCCATAGGCAAAACTTTAAACCTTCTTGGTCCCGCTTCATTCAAGCGAAAATATTACTGCTGCATAGGACCACAGTCGAAGCGTAAAAAACTTTTAACCCAGTTGGGTATTGAAGATTTAGATGATAATAAAATTAGTCTGCAACATAAGAGACTACTGTCGATCATGTCCAATTCACACCAGCAGTACAACGAAGGGATGCGCGTATTCAAAGATACCAATGGGGTCCAGATCATGGAGGCAGTCAATGTTTATGTGCCAATAAAAAAGGGTTGCTGTAAAACTAACAGAAACAAAAACCACAGTTATGATAATAATAATAATGATGATGATGATGGTGATGACAACTGTGATATCGGTGATGAGAATGATGATGAAGATGATTATTCTCTGATTGGGAGTGAAGTTCTAAAGCTGTGGAACTTAACTGATTCAGAGATTGAAGAACTCAAGAAACAAGTAATTTATCTTGTAACATCTAGCAAAATGTATTAATGTTCAATTCACTTAGTCACAATTATAATTTAAATTTACATCATCTTCATCATTGTAGCATGTATAAAACTTCATTATCATTGCCAAGGTCATCATAATTTTTTACTTGTTCCTGAATTGTCATCATCATCGTCATCATCATTTACGTATTATCATCGTCGTCATCATCATCATCATCATTTTCGTGACGTCATCGTCGTCGTCTCATCATTATCATCATGACTTCAGGTTCGAGAGGAGCAGAGACACAAGGAGGAAGAGCACATAATGCCGTTGATAATGAACTTGACCTACGACCAAATCGAGTCAACGTACAGTGACGTCAAATATGACGTCACAAATGATGACGGGCGGAAGAGGCGGGAAGGTAAGATGACTCATCATCAAGAATCACATCCAGCCACACAACGTGAAGATGACGTGGACGATGGGAATAAGTGCGATGACCACCTTGAGGATGATGATGAAGAAGAAGATGAAGATGACGACGACGAAGATGATGATGATGATGATAGTGGCAATATAAAAAGTCTAGATGCATTGTATGATGAAGAGTTCAACAAAAATAGCTACAAGAGATTCCTAACGGACATCGAGAAAGGACCGAGTGAGAGGTGGAAACTCATTATCGACGAAAATGTAGGATGTGTCAATGGGGAGGTTGACAGGCCACGTGATGGTGCACTCGAGCCTACGGAATATTCTAGGAGGAGGCCGAAGAGATCTTGCGTAGATTACACCCCGTCTGCCTACGCTGCTATTGGTTAGTAGGTTTGCTGGGGTTTATGGTGCTACTGATGATGGTGATGACGAGATTGCTGATGGTGGGGACGAGATTCTTGTTGGTGATGGCGAGATGTTGAAGAATTGTATTAATTATAATGGATGTTGTAAATGGTTGTTATTATGAATGTAATTAGATGTTATTGATTTGATAAATTCGTAACTTAGTATTATTGTTGCTGTAATCCGTTAGTTAATTAACTAATTGATTAATCATTTAATTAATTAAATGATGTTAGAGTAATAATAATCATGATTGAATGGTGAGGTTTTATGGAGGGCAGAAGGAACAGGAGAAATGAAACTGAAAACCAGCCAGTGAAAAAGAATAAACGATCAAGGAATGGCGACGACAATGATGATGATGGTGATGACGGTGATGAAGAAGATGATGACGATGATGATAGCAACCGTGACGACGACGAGGATTTCAAGTTGAATTCATCCAGTCGTAAACGTAAGAGGCGAAGACGCATTGCTGAAAAGAAATATAACGATGATGACGATGGTGGTCAAGATGATGATGACGACGACGACGACGATCATGACCGCGGTGATGATAATTATACCGATAACAAAAGTTATGATGATGATGAATCTAACAACGACAATGAAAATGACCAACGCGATAATGGTGATAACAGTGATGATGGTGATAACGATGATGATGATGCTGATTATGATGATTGTGATGGTGTTGACGGTACGAACAAGTTAGATAATGATGATGATGGTGGTGGTAATAATGGTGGTGATGATGATGATGACGATACAGAGATTAAACTCTCAAAAGTTTATAACAGTAAAAAGAATCCAAAAAAACGTCTTTACAAAAAAAATTATAAAAATAAGAAAAATTACATCGATAATGACGATGGTGATAATAATGCCAACAACGATGACGATGATGATGATGACGTCATTAAGAATAATGTTAACATTAATAACGAAGACGATGATCACGGTGATGATGATAATAATAATAATGGTGATGGTGATAACAATGATGATGGTAATGATAATTACGAACAAAGACAGGATGATGATGATGAAGAGGAGAAAAATTCTTGCGGATAATGATGTTTGTGAGATTGGCTACGATGGTGATAATAATAATGATGATAAAAATAATGCCGGTGAGTTAAGAGAAGTTAAAAATGATAACGATGATTATGGCGATAATGATAATAACACTGCTAATAATAATAATAATAATAATAATAATAATAATAATAATACTAATAATAATAATAATAATAATGATAATGATAATAATAATAATGATAATGATAATGATGATGATGATGATGTGGATGATGATGACAAATTATCATCAGTTACTCCTCAGCTGCCTTCATTGAGTGAAAATGATCACGGCCACGATGATGGTGATAATGAGGAAGTGGAAAATGATAACGACGATAACAACGACAACAATAACAACAACAACAACGTCAGTAATGAAGCCGCTAACAATGTTGATAACGACAATAGTGATGACATTGATGTAGAGAGTAACTACTGTAAGAATGACTGTGATGATGATAGAGAGAGGTGATTGACTGCAGTGATTTTAGTGATTAAACTGATAATAGCAGTGATATAATCTGATGATTTCGCGGTTTTGTGTGAGTGTGTCGTTCGTTTTGTATGAATTTGTGTGGTTTTGTGTGTGTTTATATGTATGTATGCTTGTATGTATGCATCTATGTATGTATGCGTGTATGTTTGTATGAATTTGTGTGAGTGCGTCGTGCGTTTTTGTATATGAATTTGTGTTTACACCTATGCTCTCCAATGGTTGGTATGCATCGTGTTTTTAAATTTAATATTTTTAAAAAATTTATTTTTTTCAATATGCTGTTATAATATGTTTCAATATTATGTTGTAATTTTTTATTTTCATTATTACTAATTAATTAATTAGTTAATATTACTATTAATTGATTATTATTATTATTACTATTTTTTCGAAATTTTAAAATCAGTTTGCAATAATGATTTTTTAACATCCAACTGCTGTATTATATTATTTTATAATTGTTATATCGTGTGTATGTTATTTACCATTAACCATGTTAAACGATCATGTGACCATAATGTTTTTTTTTCCTGGCTGTGAGTGAACTATTTTTAAAACTTCACTTCTCGGTATGTATTAAATTGTTTTAATGAAATTGATCAATGTATAAAAAAATTGTCTTTTATCCATCCTTTGTGTGTATGTGTGTGTGTGTTTGTATGTGTGTGTGTGTGTATGTATGTATGTATGTATGTATGTATGTATGTATGTATGTATGTATGTATGTATGTATGATGTATGTATGTATGTTTGTATGTATGTATCTATGTATGTATGCGTGTATGTTTGTATGTATATATGTTATGCAGATTTATTTACATTGAATGATAATGAATTTCGGTTTTAAAGAACATAAATGATTAAATTATGTCTTATTAAATATTAATCCTTATTCATTTAACTTATTTAGCATACATAAGTATTAAAAAAATAAAAAGCTATATATATATATATATATAAATAAAGATATTCGTTTAATTTTTGTTGTTATGTATATATGTATATTCATATACATTATATACAATTTGTTTTTATCAAGTTCTATATTAATTAATTAATTAATTTGTACTTACGTGAGTGTCGAAACGGCGGTTGTGCGTGTGAGTGATGCAGCAACTTAACATAAATAAATTTTGATACATTGTGGTTGTCATTGAATTAAAATATTTTCATTGCACTGGAGTCAACCAGAGGAAAGAATCCACTGCCTGATTGACTTTGTTTCACAGTTTTTCATTTTGTGGTGGTATAAAAGTGGATACAGAAAATTCATAACTTAGTCTGCGTTTTCCTACTTAAATTTATCTAATCTGGGGTTAATTGAGTATTGGTCTACTGAGTATGAGTATAACTACAGTGTTCAGTTATCCATGTTCAACTAATTCAGCAAGTCATTTTTTTTTTATAAAATTTTATTTGATTTCAGAAGGAACCAAAAAATAGGTGTAGGATGGATGTGAAGGATTGAATTGAAATATACACACTCGTAAAAATGTTGTAAGTGGTATGACGAACTCGTCGTCAAGTTCACGGAACGTGCGAAATAGTGACAATGTACTTAAATATATATCAAATATATATATGTCATGTGATGTACTTTACACACCTACTCAAGTTCGTGCATCAGTTATGGAAATGTATGGAAAATACGTAGCCACGTTTATGCATATTTATTCAAACACATTCAAAAACATAGATGTATGTACACTAGCCGAGGTTTAAGTAAAGTTCAGTATTGGAATCGTGCTGAATGGTGCTAGAAATTTATACGGTTATCTTATTACAGTTATCTTATATATTACAGTTATTTATACAGTTATCTTATACAGTTATCTTATAATATTACAGTTATATTAAAAACAAAACTTATCTTATACAGTTATCCTATTAAAGTAATTTACATTTAGTGAATGAGTATTAACAAAGATATTTGAAATATTACAAACCAGATCTGCCTGATCAACGTTTTGCAAATGAACTCTCTCCCCACCCTCTCTCTCTCTCTATAAATATAAATATATACAGATGTGTGTGTGTGTTATGTGTGCGTGTGTGTATATATGTGTGTCTATGTGTTTGTGTGTGTGTGTGTGTTACTGTGTGGTTACAACAACACGTAGTAATGGCATCGACCGAATATTTTCATTGCACTTTCAGTCCGTTGTTTGAAGCACTCGCCTCTTGTTTGCCACACTTTTCCAATTACATCCCTTCATCGCGGTAAACACTTGACCTTTCTTCCTCTCCTTCTCTCTCTCCCTCTTTTTCTCTCTCTCCAGTCTCTCTTCCTCTCTAGTCTCTTTATTATTAATTTCTTCGTTGTGCTTCTTCCTGTATTTATTATTTCTTGTTAAAAGTCCTCTATGATCCTAAGAATGTTTGTCGATACGCGCCACGTTTGCCAGGCATTTGTTTGATGGCTTCCAAATATCTTCTAGAGTCCTGACTTTTTAATCTAAAAATTTTCGGTCACTTGTTCTTACAGTGTTGTATATAACTACTGGTTACATGATATCGCCTAATGATATCGCATATATCAGGGTCATGTTTAATAGCAAAAGCAACAAGCCAGACATGATCAATCAATCAATCAATCAATCAATCAATCAATCGATCAATCAATCGATCGATCGATCGATCGATCGATCGATCAAGCAATTATCAATCAAGCACTGAGCAAATAATTTTTTTGAAAAATTTGAAATTTTAATTTAGAAACTCTTTATGTTGAACGTTTGAAAGTGATAAGTTAATGTAATGCACAGAAGGTCATCGAGTAAAATAAGATATGAGTAAACTTGTTGACTGTTTTTGAAAATCACATCAGTTCGCAGCATGTATCTACCCCATACACGTATTTTTTTGAAGTTCATTACAAATAATTTAGCATAGATAATAAATAAAGATCAACAAATGAAACAAAGTTTTTTTTAAAGTTTAACAATGAGATTTAATTAATTTAATATGCATGAAAGTTTTTATAAAATATTTTCGTAATTTTATAAAAATTTTTATTTCATTAAGTTGTTGGCAAAAAATAAAAGTTATCGATGTCCCAAATCAATATTTATCTAGAAGTTTCTTCTTGGAGATGATGATGAAGTGATAAAATGAACGTTCAGTGAATATGAAACCGTGGCACGCAAAAGAGAAATAAAATTTTCATCATTAACGTTAATCATCATCTTCATCATCACCCCAGCTGAATTGTTTAAACATCATTATCATCCTCATCATTGCCATCATCATCGTCGTCGTCGTCATCATTTTCATCATCGCTCCAACTGAATTGTTTAAACATCATTCTCACCATCATTATCATCATCATCATCTCATTATCATCATCATCGTCTTCGTCATCACCATCAATATTTTATTCATTGCGACCATCAGCATTCTTATCAGCATATAAGTACTCGACATAGCCATCAATCAGCGTTATTTTGTATGAAAAGCAGCTCTATGACAATCATCTTCATCTTTATTGTCATCATCATCACTACCATAACCACCACCATCATCATCATCATTCACCATATCACAGTCATCATTCATCATCACAATTATAATCCTCATCGCATCATCACCATCACAATCATCACAGTTTTCGCATTCATCATTCGTCATCACGATCACAATCATCATCTTCGTCATCATCACCATAATCATTTCTGGATAGACAGCAGCAATCCCAGTTCCTTCCTGGATAGCCTGCCATCTGTGTTCTTATCGAAGACACTGAGAACGACTTCCTGGTAATCCATCAGGTCCTTCAACGTCACTCTCTGCATTTGTTTGTGTGCGTGCGTGTGAGTATCTCTGTTATACTTAGTTTGTGTGTATATGTGTGTGCATGTGTGTGTGTGTATGTGTAGACGTGTGTGTGTGTGTATGAAGCTGGAATTGTAAAAAATAATTTGGTGAGTTAGATCAGAAAATATTCGCATTTTTATCATTAACGCATTGGTCTAGTATGGATTAAATCTCTTCGAAACTCAAAAAATTGCTTAAGTTTGTAACTAAGCAAGCAAGGAGCGATTAGTATGGATTTCTGCAATGGTTGGAGTTGCATTACTTGAACGTGGAATGTAAACGAGTAGGTGGTAGGTGTATGGAATGGAATACTCATCAGATAACAAAAAACAAAACATTTAAAATGGAAAAGTGTTTGACAAACGTAACAACTTTCTGATCGACAGATGAATAGATAAAAGAAATATGATAGATGGATAGACGGACGACTTAATCCGGATGAATGGATCGATAAATAAAAAAATGAATACAAGTAAGGATGAATGGATGGATGGATAAACTGAAGATTAAATGATTGTCTCGATGAAAAGATAGATTGATGAACGTTCCAACATAGAGGTTGATGAATGCTTCGAAAAAATAAATTGACTGTGGGTAGCTAAATAATTCATGGTGCAAATGTTCAGACTGGTTTGCTTGCTGTTAATTCCACCCGGGCTGATTCCACGGTCGATTGAGTAAAACTTTTTAGTGTGTTGGTTTTATTTCAGTAAAGAGATGCAAGTTTTGAAGTTTTTCTGTATAACTTAAATTATTTTTTAATCATTAAATTGAATTTCAAAAAAATTTTTGAAACAATTTTAAAAAAGCCAATTAATGTTTTAACAACATGCTGGACATAAGATATAATCAATGCAGCAGTTAACAATCAGCCATCAGGGTCAGTGTGCAGCGTTTTAGGCCAGACCAGGAGTTATCATCATCAGTATCATCAATAGTATCATCATCAGCATCTACCTGGTCGACTTTCGTCATGATATCTCTGATGAGTGCCAACAGTTCGGTACCTTCAATGAAGCCATTGCCATCCTGATGACGATGATGATGACGATGATGATGACGATGATGATGACGATGATGACGAAAGATGATGCGAGACAGTTAAGAAGTAAAATCAATGAGGATATTGATGATGGTGAAAGTTAAACTGAAAAATATAAAATCACAAAATAAATAATTAAAATGAGCAAATAAAAACTTAAAAAAAACTATAAAACAAAAAAGACGGAAGAGCATTGTATGCAAAGTAGCACGAAGAACGGCGTGCAACACCATCACGTCTCCAAATCATCGCAAACGTCATCTAATAAAACATCCCCACTGCTGTGATGATCTAATTTTGGGGAAATTAATTGAGTTAAGTCGCCCCACCATACAACACATAACACATTCTAAAAAACTTTGACACACACACGCACGCACACACACACACACGCACGCACACACATAGACACAAGACGCAGATGATCGGATGCAAAGAAGGACAATGACTTTTATGAAAAAAAAACCTTCCGAGTTGATGGTCCAGAGATAATTGTACACATAAAAGAAACAATATGAATAAAATATATAAACAAACAAATATGCATTGAGTGTCAACTGTCAACCTATCAGGATGTTTGAGAACACACACACACACACACGCACACACACACAGATCAAAATTAATAAGAGCCAGTGCAGAGAATGCAAATAAACGTACATGACCAACAAATATGAAAATAGATAAATGCGTGTACAGATACGTGCACAACAACACGCAGTACGCACACACGCACGTACATATATATATATATTTGTAACGGATTAAAAATCAACATTTCTAAAACATGCTGTTTACTTTTTGGTCCAACAATAATGACTAATCCTTGTAATTTTCAAATCACATTAGATGGTATGATTATTTTAAGGACATTTTCAACTAAGTTCCTTGGTGTTTTTATCACAAGCAACGTAAATTGGAAGGAACATATCATGTCAATTTCCAAAAAAATAAGTAAAAACCTTGGAATAATTAATAAACTAAAATTCACATTTCCCAAATATTTATTGTTAAATTTATATTACACACTTATATATCCATACTTGAATTATTGTATAATAATATGGGGCAGAAACATTAAATCGCATTTGAATATTTTAATAAAACTACAGAACTATTTCATTAGAATAGTTTTTGGTTTACAGAGATATGATCACGTAACTTCTTTTAGAGTAAATCTTAACATCTTAACTCCCACACAAATTTACATACTTAAAATTTTAATATTTTTTTTTCAAATCATAAATTTCAACAAATGTCCACATTTTATTGTAAATTACATGGTGCATAATTTAAATGATAAACAAACAAGGCATACCCATGAGTTTCGGATACCGCAACATAGAACAGAATTATATAATCAGTCGATATTCATTTATGGATTGAAATTGTGGAACAATTTAAACGTTGAGATAAAGCAAGTGGATAATATATCTAAATTTAAAAAAATTGTATTGAACCTTTTAAAAAACAATCATTTTGTCAATTAATATTACATATTTTCATTTCTTAATGGTTTATAACAAATTTATGAGATTAACATTTTTATTTGTTTACACTGATGTAAAAGGTTTCTTTTATATCCGTGTTTATTTAGGCGAAAGCGTGTTATAATTATTATTTTTGGATTTCAATAATTTTTCATTTAACTTATAATTTTGTGAGTTATTTTTCCTGGAATGAACATTAATTTTAATTTTCTTTGGTTCATGTTAATTTTTGATTTCGTTTTATTGCTTGATTTGATGTCGTTTTTTCTTGGTGGCCATATAAGCCTTTGCGCTCCTGGTCTCCGTAATAAATAAATAAATAAATATATATATATACGCATGTACATATATATATATATATACGCACGTATATATATACGCACATATATATTTATATATATATATACGTACGTATATATATATATACGCACGTATATATATATATATATATATATTATATATATATATATATATGCAGTATTGTATGAATTCTACTGAATTGTTATCAATTTGAAGTTTGTTTTTTCAATTTTCCTTAAAAGAATTTTCTGGAAATTGTTAAATTTGTTAAAAATAGAATTATCCAAGTTCATTATGAAAATTTAATGAAACTGTTGTTATCTGAATCCGTCATGCAGATAAGGCCTTATTTCGATTTTTCAATTTGCACAATCAACGTATAATTAAACACGCGAACACTTAAAACGTACAAGCATTAACTATAATATAGAAAGAAGTACATGCAAGTATGCATAAACACACTCAACAAATACACACACACAAATACGCACACTTGCACAAACAAACACATCTACCAACTCACCGGATCATAATGCATGAAGATTTCGTTAAAATCTCTTCTGGAAAGCTGTCGGGATGATGATGATGTTGGTGACGACGGAGATGATGATGATAAAATTAATAATAATAATGAGGACATCCTTTATTTCTTCAAAAAGATAACTGGATGTAAAAAAAGTTTAATAAAGGCGTAGAAAAATAAATAATACATGAATAAATAAAAAAATGTCAGTTAAGATAAAATTAAATAGTTATGTTCTACGTAGCTCGTCATCCAAAATGATTGAGTACAACAAGAGAGAATTAACAATTCATTCGTTCGCACTAAATGGCGTAAGATGACGGTGCTGCCGAAATAATCGCCCAAATATTATTGATGAGTGACAAACTTGAACAACTACAAAAACCTAACGATGGTACTTCGAAATTGTTAATTATTATTATTAACGTTTTATTTTGGAGATTGTTTTAATATTTGGACGTTTGTATCTTTTCAATGTCGCCAGTTAGATAGGACATGTTTGATTGTTTACTGAGCCTTACATAATGGGCAGAGGGCTGTAGACGATTTGCCCCATCTGAACAAATTCGCATTTGTAGGAAGTTGTTGAATGAGACTTTTCCTGAAAAATTTGAACCGCACTTCTGAAAGGCTTGTTTAAAATTTCGTTCGACCAGTGTGCACTTTGAGCTGCGGTATGGAAGCGACAAATTTTCCGACAGACAACTCTTAATGGGCAACTACAGTCATGATTTGACTGTTTGGCCGACCATGGTGTCGAGATATCTGCCAATCCAAGTCAGTTGGCGAAATGTTGTAGGTGCGAAATTTAAACGCCAACTGCGATGGAAGATCTTTTCTAAGAATTTCGAGTTTCCACTGCACCGTTGTGTCTAATTTTCTGACAGTTGATAACAATTTTTTAACAAATTACGACTATCATTAAATTTAACTAACATCACCGCCCTATTGAAGATCATCATCATAGTCATCATCGCCATCATCATTCCATCACCACCATCACCAACTTCATCATCATCGCAAACACAGCACTTAAAATTCAAACCAGGGAAGAAAAATGACTAAAGAAATGAAACAACCATGTCAAGCTGCTCTAGAAAGAAAGTTAAAATTTAAAATGTTTATACTTTCATTACTAAGCACATACACACATAAAATTACGCATATACACATACAAACATACATATATACATACATAAACACACACGTACAAAAAACACACATATACAAACACACATTCAAACACAGAAACTGATAAACATGAACGCACATTTAAACACATACATATACAGGTAAACATGTCCACATACAAACACATACAAACACGCACACATACACGTACAAAGAAAACATGTACATACTAACATACACACATATACACCTCACATGTATAAACATAATGTTAATAAAAGTACCATGATCAGTTAAACAATGCCAAAATACAATACAACGACACATACTAAACAAAGTAGAACAAAGAAAGCAAAATTAAATTAAGTATTCTTTGGTTACCGATTTTCTAGAAGAGAATTTCTTCATGAAGTTCTCCTCGATTGATAGCAGGCTGTCAACATAATGAATAGTTCACAAAAGTTGCAAGCATCATCTTTGTCATCATCCTCTTCACCATCACCATTACCATGACCATCATCATTATTCTCATCATCACCATCGCTATCACCATCATCATCATTGTTATGATCATAGTTATCATCATCCTCACCATAATCATCCTCTTCATCCTCCTCCTCCTCATCATCACCACCACCATCATCATCATCATCACCATCCTGTTGACCTACTTAGCGAATTCTCCAAGTTCAATTTTTCCATCCCTGTTGACATCTGCGGTCATCATGACCTTGTTTCGAAGGCCATCCAATTCTTCCTCCGTCAGTTCCTTCTGTTCATCACGATGATGACGACGACGACGATGATGAAAATAATAATAATAAAATAATAATAATAATAATAATAATAATAATTATAATGGTTGTTGTTGGCAATGATGACGACGACGAAGAAGATGATGAAAGTGTTAACAACAAAGAACGCTTTTTTTTCCACGGCCGGTTAACGTATTTTGATAGACGCCAATGTTTATAGGCGTTCACCAAGCGCTCAATGAATGCGTTGAAAAACGCGTGTTAACGCAGATAACATGCCCACTTTGTGTTATTTAATGTTGTTACGTGTTGCAAAAACCAAATATCTCTTTCTAATAAACTTCCAGTACAGACAGACTAAAAGTACTTATATTCTTGCCAGAGTACACCACACATGCCTGTGTGTGTTTATCGGCTAGTACCTGGCGATAGAAAATGTTTGGCGGGATCTATAAAATACGTTTGAACGATTTTTTCCAACAATGTTGTTTTCAGCAGCTAATGAGAATTACTAGCGTTTAACGTGCTGTCGTTGATCGTCGTTGGCGTCATCTTCGTCGTCACCATCGTCATCATCGTCATCATCTTCATCATCATTATTATCATCATCAAAATCATCGTTATGATATTCATCACAATCATCCTCATCATTCTCATTATCACAATCTTTTTTATTATCATACTCAGAATTGGCGCGATCATCTTTAAACTGCTGTACCACGTGCCATCAAATTCTGTAAACATCACCTACAACTAATTTACCACCATAGAGGTAAACTTATCACCACCACCACCACCATCATCGTTATCATCATCATCATCATCATCATCATCAACACTACCGTCATTATTATTATAATCATCATCGTCATCATCATCGTCATCATCACTACATGCTCAACCATCAAAAATAATTTATAGCGCGATTATCAGACCAAGGAGGAAATGTTAATTAGATTGTGACGTCATAATGATTGTAATAAGAACATTAACAATAACAACAACAACAACAATAATAATAATGAGAAGAAGAAAAAGATGTAACATTAACAATTATGACATCAACATGCACATTCAAACACACACGGTGACCGCAGTATTGTTCATGAAACATTGAAAAATTATTTGCACTGATAAACTTGAAGTAAATAGATAAAAAAATAAACACATCATAACATTGAAAATTTGTTGAATCATAAAAAATATGATTGAATCATAATAAAAAATATGGAACTATAATTATCATCTTAATAGAATCGCAGCAGTGTAAATAGCGTTGAAAAGTACTGCGAATATACATAGAAGCGAAATAAGCACTATAGCACGAACGTGCATCAATCAATTAATCAATCAAATATAAATCATCTCTGATTTTATTTATTCAACCATTCATCCGTCCATCTAGCTATCCGTACATTCGTCCATCTATCTATCCATTCGTCCATCTATCCATCATCCATCCATCCGTCCGTCCGTCCGTTTATTCGTTGATGATTTATTCATTCATTCAATCATGTTATCCAACAATTTGTTTATCTATCTATTTATTTATCCATTCATCTATATATCCAGCAATCCATCCAATTATTCATTCATTCCTCTATCAATTCGTCCATTCATTTAAACATCCATCCATCAATCTGCATACTTTGTGATCGATTGAGCACATACAACCAAATTTTATATTTCGTATCACAGAGATATCGCAGCTACAGCCACAACGAACATCCACAGCCACGACCAACAATGTAAATCAATGAATGAAAATTGGATTGGATAGACGGACAAATGTATGGATGGATGGATGTTTGGATAAATGAATAGATCAATTTTTAATGAATGGATGGATGGATTATTGAAGGAATAGTTGGATATATAAACTTGGTTTTATTTTGTTTTGAGGATCATCTTTTACCACAAGAGAGCCATCCATTTGTTAATTTGAATTAACTCTTCATCCGGTTTCCGATTTATTCCGATTAGATTTAACTCGGATCAGTATCAATGAGACAAAATTATAAATGTTAAAGTTAGACAACTAGCCAAAAACATCTAGAAAATGAAAGTTGAAGGTATTTTCAACTACAACAACAATGAAAACAATAACAAAATAACAAAAAAGTGAGCAAAGATAAAAAATTATTCATTAGTATTATAAATAATAATTGCTGCGATATCCATTTACAATAAAACAAATATTTTTACAACTTCCCGTTTAATTACCACGCGGCAGATTACTATGCAGCTACTACTACTACTACTACTACTACTACTACTACTACTACTACTACTACTACAACTACAACAACAACAACTACTACTACTACTACTACTTCTGCTACTACTACTACTACTACTACTACTATTACTACTACTACTATTATTACTACTACTGCTACTACTACTACTACAACTAATAAAAAATAGTTTATTATTATTATTTTTGTTATTCTATTATTTTATTATTATTATTATTGTTACAACAACTTACCCCATGTCTGGAAGATATGAAATCAACGAGGAAGTTGTCTAGCTCCCTCCGCTCCAGATATCCACTTCCGTCCTGTGTTATCATCATCATCATCGTCATCGTCGTCATCATCGTCGTCATCATTATAATCCTCATTGCTTTCGTCATTGTGATCATCGTCACCATCCTCACGTCATCGTCATCATCATCGTTGCCATCATCATCTTACTTGTTACTATCATAATATCATTTTTGTCATCATTGTCCAAATTTTCAACATACTGTCATCATGGTAACTGCTTCAACGTCATCGTCATCATCCTCATCACAACTTTCATCATTCTCGTTCACCATCATCATCAGTATGCAGAAACATAAACATTTGCATGCATTCACCAGCAGGTAGCATTGTGATGAAATAACGGTGATGAAATGAAGATGTAATGATATGATGGTGATGAAATGATTAGCAATGATATGATGGTGATGTAATGATGATGGGATGATGCGGTGAGGCAGCGAGCGAGCAAGCGAGCGCCTGACAGATTAATATGTTACACCAGCAAAAACATCAGATAGACAGCTCTTCAGGTTTATGATCATAATTTTTTTCTTATCTTAAATATATATGCATACCGACACATAACCTTGAACACAGACACAAATACACACACACACACACACACACACAAAAGCACACAATACAAAAATTAAAAATGTGCTATAATAAATTTTTAAATTCAAAAAAAGAAACAATATCAAACCAACCGAATCGTAATGTGACCATATTTTTATGAAATCAACTGAATTCACCTAGTCGAAAAAAAGTTTAAGTTTGTATGAAAATCTTTGTATGTTTTTATGTGTGTGTATTAGTATAATAGTGTTTGTATGTCATTGTATGTGTGCATATTTGTATAAAAACTTTTGCGTGCGTTGGTAGGTAGGTGTGTAATTTTGTATAAAAAACGTATTTATGTCTTTGTATGTGTTTGTATACTTGTGTGAAAACATTTGTATACGTTTGTTTGTATGTGTGTGCATATAAATACGTTTGTATGTGTTTGTATGTGCGTGTATGAATAAAGGTAAATTTTTATTAGGACAATTGTATAGGTTGTTTGCACGAACTTCTGCATTTGTTCAAACCCGGGTCAAATTGTACGTGTGGTTGTTTGCATAATCTTTATCCCGTCATTTATTTTTAGAAAATTTTCAAGAATTTTCAAGCAACACTCAAACGGGTAAGTGGAATTAACTTAATTGGAATTAACTTAAGTGGAATTAAAGTGGAATCAAATTAAAGTCACAATTTTTTAAACAAAGAAAAATGAATGACTCAACTGACTTTGTTTGTCAGAGCGTATTTTCCGAGAAAGTTCACCTGTGCGAAAATGTTAAAAATGTTATAGTCAAATTTTTAACTAGATAAAATAAAATTCATATAATTTAAGATATTGATTGTTATAATTTAAATGTCTTATAATGCATTCTAACAATAAGCAAATAGGATTGGTTTTTAATCAACTTATCAGTCAATTTTCTGAAAAGAAAATAAAATAAAAACTTAAAACAAAACGGATCAAACTGCTTAAACAAGTTAAACCAAAGCTTAAACAAAGTCCTCATAAATACAGACATACTCACAAACCAAGACAAACACATTCCGACGCATATTTGAAGAGTGGACCTAGAGGCAAAACAGAGCGGGCAGCCATGAAGCGATAGGTGTTACAAATGACCTCAATTAACTAATGGTTTAAATTTTGGAATAGACTGTAAAAATAAAATGGGCAAAACATAAAATAAATAATAATAGTAATAATAATGAAGCACATTTTTAAAGCGTCCAAAGTTTCTGAATACACACACGTGCACGCACACACACACACAAACACACACACAGACACACACACACATACACAGACAGACAGAGAGAGAGAGAGAGAGAGAGAGAGAGAGAGAGACAGACAGACAAACAAACATAAAAAAGTCAAAAATATAGTGAAAAATAAATTAAACAGAAACTCAAAAAATTGCGCAAAGATTTGTAAAAGTAAAATAAAATATTTCCATGAAATAGATAATAGATAAGTCTATGACATAAAACAAAACACACACACACAAATACACACACGCACAAATAAACAAACACGCACACGTACTTAAATGCATGCCAAATAAAATTTATATATTTAAACCTTAATAAGTATATATGAACAATAAAAATGATTCTGCTTGAATAAACACAAAAAGTGAATGTATCAGATATACAATGTATAGAGATTCAATGATTTTGTCTTCCTCCATCCAAGTTCTTTTCATGGCTCTCCAGAAATTGCCGTCTTAGGATTAGTTTTGTTTTTGAAGAGATGCCATAAAACAAAACGAAATTTTATACACACACATGCCAACATAAATACAAAATTATATACAAACAGGTATACAAACATAATTACAAAATTATGAATACACAACAACAACAACACACGTTTAAACGACATTTTCCCCGAGATCGGGGGTTGCCGTTTGGCTACCTATGATGAAACCGAAATACCCCTCGACGCCATCCACATCTGTCACTCGCCTCAGTATCACGCAACCCCGCTTTCACCCTGTCCTTCTCCACCTGCTCTCTCCATCCCAATCGCGGACGACCCCTTTTTACCACTTCTTCAACTTCGAACTCCAACGCTCGCCTAATCCCGACCCTTTCATCCCTTCTCAATACATGTCCATACCACCGCAATCTCGATCTCCTTATCAATGTCACAATGTCCTCATTCAGTCCCATCATTGACATCAGCTCTGTACTACTCCTCCTATCCTTCACTTTAACCCCACACATCATCCTCACCATAGCTCTTTCAGCCCTCTGCAGTACACTTTCCTCCTCTCTCCTCAACACCCAAGTTTCACCACCATACACCATCGCTGCTCTCACACATGCTTTATATACCCTCCCTTTCATCTTCACTGACCATTTCTTTCCACACAATACCCCACCCAGTTCCCTAAATTCATCCAT